AATTGCATAGGTCATTCTCTTTAATGAGATTTTATTAACCTGACTGTCAAGCTTTTGAGTCAGGCAGATATTTTATCTTCTTCAACTGATAAAAGTGTCAGCTATAAACCACCATATAAATATTCATAAATCTACACATCTGTGGCAGCCTATCAGCATCATTCTTTTGGACATTAAAAGCATTCTAATTACTTTCTGTCTAGCAGAGCTGAAATGCTGCCTGTTATAGTATGTGCTTGGCAGGCATGATTGCTTTTGTTTGCCATCACAAATAGCAGCATCCTATTTTATATACCGATGGTCCAGAAAATATTCAGGGATTGACTGAGCAGGATGAGTATTAGGGAGCACCATCTGGTTTTGATAGCACCAAGTATATTAACTCATCTGTTAATTTTTGACACATCATTGATTTATTTATTTAGAAAAATTGCATCCTGTTTTGCTGTGTTGATGTTTGCCATTACGGAAAAAAAATAGGATGACATTTTTTAAAAAAGACATAGTTCATTGATTTAAGACAAGGGTGATGATGCTTCCAAAGAGGCATTCATTCTCTAACTTTCTATGCCATGACGTCCTTTCTTAAAAAGAAGGTATATTACTGTTTTAAGGAAATTAATCTATTTTGAACTAGCTGGAAGTCCTTTGGGTAGATATACTATATAAATACATAATAGTAAGTCACAAAAAAATTTTTTTTTTTTTGGCTTCTGTATTTTTAATAGATTTCACCCTTGGCTGGGCTAAAATCAAAAGGTTACCACTAATCTCAACTACTGTGATCTCCTTCATAGAAACAGAATACTCTTGGGGATATGCTGTGATGGACAAATTCCACCCAAGGCTTTGCTTACAAAGAAGCACATTAAAGTAGGGACCCTGTGTTTGATTGCTGACTTCCTATCTGTCTTATTCACTTACAGATTTAAGATGGATTAAACCATTTAAATTCAGAAAAATTTCTAGAAATGAAAATTTTTAATTAAAAAAATAACCATGGGTTCAGATTCTGGAATCAGATTAGGTGCAATTTGCCCCCTGGTATCTCCCAACAGTCTGCACAGTAAAGCAAAATAAGTTAGACGGAAGTGGTCATTGTAGGGTGGTTTGTGACTAACATTTTATGTGTCTATCAGAGAAGTTAGGGATAAAATAAGTAGTTTTAAAGTCCCCTTGTAAACTGATGACTTTGTACTTCTCGGCCATCATCTGAGTGGAGCATTCTGTGACTAGAGGGGAAAAACAATTTAAAAATTCAAAATACACGTTCACACTTTGCACAATTAAGAATCATGGATCAGTGGCCATTCAAATGCGTGCATATGAAAACAACTCTTCTCCATTTCTTAGCGATAACGGGCACAGTACAACACTTGCATTTCTAATTATGTTCTGTCTGGAAAGCTGAAGTATTGCTGGCTGCAGAATGTATTAAGTGGAAAGATTTACTGTTTTCTACCAAGTCTAATAGTAATATTTTTCATCTCACTCTTCAATGTATTGATATTAAAACTATTCAAATATTTTAACATACTGAAAAGAGAAGAAATTCCATTTTAACACTTATAGTTGCTGTTTTTGCATATGTCAAGTCTGAGAATGCAGCATTTAAAAAAACTGCAGGCAAAAACTTATTTATGATTGTAGCTATTCTCTGATATTCTGAGTGCACTTTAATACATTATCTTCATAATGTAGGGTATTACATAATGATTTCTTTTTCAGCATATTACGAGTTTATCCTTCAATTAAGAAAACAAATCATACTTGTCCCTAAGTCAGATTCTTTGCCCTTAAATCTATACCCTAATGTGACTTATCAGTATGATTAAAACTACTGAGTCTTATTTTGGATAGTGAACAAATATATTGAGCAATTTTTTCTAGACAATTCTATTTTAGCCTTCCCTTCCATATTTTGTTCCTTTCATCAAGGTTATGTTAACAGTGTATAGGCTGTAAATCAATTGGGACTATGCTGATTAAAATGCAAACAGTAAATACAACTTCAGGTCTAGAATGGGATTATAGGATTAAAATGAATGAAAACTGCTAGTGTGCTAGAATTGAAAATTCCCAATCAATATCATCCTTTGATTTTACTAATAAAAGAACAAAAACCCGCAAGTAAAGAAATGAAGAGGCAACATCTTAACCCACCCCAGTTAAATGGTTCAGCTGTTTACTATCTTGTTTTTGGTCATAGTGAAGAAGTGATACCCAAATATTTGAGGTCTTTCCCCCATTAAGTTTTTATTTAAATCATGGGCTCAGTTCTTCACTCCACCTGGCAGGGGGCAGAGCACCGTCAATTCAGTGGTTGGTGTGTGGAGATACTTGTCACATCCATATCCCTTTTTCTCCAAGGCAGGAAACAGACTAGACTACCTTGGTAGCTTCTTCAGCCAAGTTCCCAGCCCATCAATCCATTCTGGCTTGAAACTATGCCTGGCATCTGGTTCCTTCTTTAGCCCTCAAACTAGTGGTGTAAAACAACAGACCTTTGTCTATTCTTTGTGGGATTCAGGACAGGAGTACAAATGCAAGCCCACATATCATAGATCTAAATAATTAAAAGACCTACTCAAGCTAACAAACAAAAGTATGTTCAATCTGCCCACCCTGGCAAAGACACCATCATCATGACCACGTTTGACTTTCAGCCAGCCCATGGCCTTCTGTTGCCACCCCCAGCGTCATCTTCCTGTAGCAGGAACCTCCTATGCACACACGTATGGATGCCCCAGTTCAAACTTCCAAGCTCTGGTGCCGTGGTCTGTCTTTGGGAAGATGGCTCAGGGAAGAGACCAGCCCTTGGAGCAGTTTGACTAGGGAATTCCATTCCTCACTGTGGGGAGAGTGTGGGCTAGACGGGGAGGGTCTAGGCAGGGGCCCTCCTGCCCGTGTCTAGGGCAGTACTACTCCCTAAGAGTGAGGAAGCACCAAGCCAGGAAGAAAATACTACTATGGCCTCCCAGCCCGCTTAGAGGGGTCTTGCCACCCCTACCCAAGTAAATCTGAAATTGCTATGAACTGAGATCCTCTGTTTGTATACAGGGGTCCCTCATGCATTCAGTAAATGTTTCTTGAGGTACCATGCCGGCCCTCGGACCCTAGTGCACTCCATCCCACTGTGCTCATGGAAAGTAGTCTCTCTTCCTCTCCTGAACCTAAGAGCGCCGGCCTCTGTGTGCTGACTGCTGATTGTTTCAGGGGGATCTGGGAACGGTAGCATTGTATGGATTTGGGAGATATGAGGGGTGCTTCCTGTATGCCAGGTATCTTGAAATAGGAGATGTGGACCACCCTCCAATTCTCCCAGTACCTTAATTATTTCAGAAAAGAATAGTAAGAAAAAGCACCCTAGCTGGTTTGGCTCAGTGGATAGAGCATCAGCCTGTGGACTGGAGGGTCCTGGGTTTGATTCCGGCAAGGGCATGTACCTGGTTGCAGGTTCGATCCCCGGCCCTGGTCAGGGCACGTGCGGAGGCAACCAGTTCAATGAATGGATGAGTCTCTCTCACATCAAAGTTTCTCTCTCTGTCTCTCCCCCTCCCTTCCACTCTCTAAAAACGAAATCAGTGGAAAATATCCCCAGGTGAGGATTAGCAATAAACAAATAAATAAAATTTAAAGAAAAAAGCGAAGTGGAGCGTGGAGGTTTCCGAAGGGTGGTTTCATTGGTCATATATCCTGGATTTCTGGAGAAATCAATTTCTAATCACAACTCTTATGGTTCCTTGTTCCCATAGAAGCCCTGGAGGATCTCACCATTTTTCATTTTAAAAGTTGTGGGGGTTTTGTTTACTTGTTTGTTTTCAGGGGGAAAAATATAGCTAGTCAGCATTTTCAGAGACAGCAAGTAGCTGGTTACCCACTATCATAAACAGCAGTTATTGACACCAAAAATCTACAATATTTCGTTTGTTACCATTATTTGGGGGTGGGGGTCTCTCTCTCCCCATCTCTCTCTCTCTCTCTCTCTCTCTCTCTCTCTCTCTCTCTCTCTCGACTTAAAAGTAGCTCATCCATGCTGGGTGGTGGTCAGGAAAGAAGGGACTCTACCTTGTGACATTTATATTTAGGATAAATTTTCCAGGCATTTAGACTGACAATATTAAATCACATTTCCACCGTTTCGGGTGTTTTTTTTTCCCTTTGTTTTTTTCAGCGAATTGATTGCTTTCTCTTTGCTCTTTGCTTTCGCCGATGAACACTTAATATGCTTTAGAATTCGTGTATGTGAACTGGCATTCTCATGCCATTTTGGGAGCTGCGGCACCCTGACAGAAGAGGCACTACTGTTTTTCAGATGACACTGACAGAGATCAGCCTAAACGTTGGCCTTGATGAGAAATCCAAGTTGGCAGATAAATGAAAAGAAGGAGTAGTGGGCACAGATACTGGATAGCACGTACAGTGTTGCTCTGGGGCTCCTCGTGGTGTGCCTGATGGGCCCACTCTTTGTTTTATCTGAGATGTCTCGTGAGCTCTTCAAAAAGACTTCTCTTTCTTCTCCATTTGTATCTGGGAGCAGCGAACTCTCGGCAGGGATTGTACCAGCTGATTAATAGCAAGGGCGAGAGGGCACTCCAGAAATAGAAGTAATGATTGCTCTAAGCCCTCCTATCAATGAGAAATCGAGTCTGCAGTGGCTGGCTCGATTCATTAGAGTAACGACATTAATGAAGCCATAGGTGCAAGTTCAGACCTGGACAGGCCAGTTAATGCCACAGGGAGGGGAATCTCTCTACGGGGCCCAAAGGCGCACAGTCCAGAGGAAGGCGCTGGGGACGACTCATCAGGCACCCCACCAGCCAGAACAGCAGGAACTGCCATCTTGTTAAAAGTGCATTCTCCGTGCCACCTTGATAGGCGATGGTAGAAATGCATATTTCTAACATTTTTTAATGTTAAACTCAAAACTGGGGACTTGGCTTATCTCTTGTCTTTGGCTGCCGGTCTCTAATGTGCCTTTTCCTGTGTTTCAGAGAGCCGCATGATTTTGGATGCCTTTGCCCAGCAGTGCAGCCGAGTTCTTAGCCTCCTCAATTGTGGAGGCAAACTTCTGGACTCCAACCATTCTCAGTCCATGATTTCTTATGTCAAGCAGGAGGGCTCAAGTTACACTGAAAGACAGGACCCGTGTCATGTGGGGAAAGGGGTCCACAGTCAGACTTCAGACAATGTAGACATAGAGATGCAATATATGCAAAGGAAACAACAAACTTCTGCCTTTTTGAGAGTTTTCACTGACTCCCTACAAAATTACCTGCTCTCGGGGAGCTTTCCGACTCCAAACACCTCATCGGTCAGCGAGTACGGCCACCTGGCCGACGTGGACCCTCTGTCAACCTCCCCCGTGCATACACTCGGAGGCTGGACCTCCCCGGCAACGTCTGAATCCCATGGTCACCCATCGTCGTCTACGCTGCCTGAAGACGAGGAGGAGGAGGAGGAGGAAGGCTACTGTCCCAGATGCCAAGAGCTGGAGCACGAGGTCATTTCACTGCAACAAGAAAATGAAGAGCTCAGAAGGAAATTAGAGAGCATCCCAGGTACCCTGTCATGTTACTTACGGGACAACTGCAGCTTCTTTCTTTCCATTGTCTCATCTGTGTGTGTGTATGCATGCATGTATATGTTGCTTATTTGTTTGTTTTTGGCCAGCTATGTAGAAGAGTTGGAAAAACAAGTATGCATGGGGTACCCTTAGCCCACCTGTGCCAAACAGAAATTTCAGGATGAGCCACTAGCCTTGTCCTGTCTGTGTTTAAGCCACATAATTCTTGGGTATAGGCGTGAAGGCCATAGTCACATTGAAAGATGCCTCTGTTGATATAAAAGTGATCCCTAAGTGTGGTACAGTGAGATCAGAATAGGCCAAGCACTGTGAGCCTGAGTTTCCTTAAAACAAATGACCCTGTTCCTTTAAAACACCTTTTGTATTTTTACAGACATTGATATATGTGTTTTATTAATCAGAGATAGAAATTAAAATGAAATGATACCTTCAGAGGGACAGGGCTCGAGTAGTAATGAACAGATGAACTCTTCTAGTCCATTAGTTTCTCACCTTTCCTGTTAAGTTTCAATAGGCAGGGTGTCTTTTTAGCATGCAAACTCCTCCGTACAGTTAATAAGCAGCTTTAAACTAAAAGGAATAGATCGAAGACAGACCAGTAATTAGGCTGATCCCAAACTATTTGTGCCCCTGGCAAAATATGAGGCATTTTCTGTCTCTTAAAGACACAGATTTGCAGAAAAGTAAAAGTCATCTTTATGGCAAGGTACTGATTGTGCTTATGTATTTGAATTCATGCCTGCATGTCTGTGGCTGACAAAAGATATTAAGCCCTGGCCAGTGTGGCTCAGCTGGTTGGAGTGTTGTCCTGTGCACCCAAAAGCTGCTGGTTTAATTCTCCGTCAGGGTGCCTTCAGTCAGGGTGCATATGGGAGGCAACCAGTTGTTTCTCTCCCCTCTCTCTCCTCTGCCCTCTCTCCCTAAAAAAAAGAAAAAAAAAAAAATAACTAGAGCAGTATCTTCAAACCTCTTTAATTACACAGCCATTGATAAAAAATTTTGAGCACCAATGTACACATTTATTGGTTAATTACATAGTACATGTTCACTATACTAATACATTATGTTCAAAATAAAGCATACATAATAAACTTAAATCTTTTAAAATCCTGACTTGAGGATATGTTTTATTGGTTGTTTTAGAGGGGGCAGGGAGAGAGAAACATGGATGTGAGATAAAAACATTGATGGTTGCTCCCCATATACATCCCGTCTGGGATGGAACCCACAACCTGGGTAAGGGATCAAACCTGCAACCTGTTAGTGGTACAGGACAACGGAGCCACCCAACCAGGGCTCCGTTTAAATTTTTGAAAGCTGATACATAAATATAAACAGAAGTCACTTTTTTCCCTAACTCGGTGCCTTTGTGCCACCCAATTAGGCGGCTGAATCTAGAAAGGGCATGTTGAAAGAAGTCACCCACTTGTTCATTAGTACACGTAGGAAGCAAAAACAAGTGTAAGAATTGCCAAGACAGAAATTTATTTCCTTTCTTTTTATTTAAAACAATTTTCCAAGTAGCCCTAAGGTTTGGTTCAGAATATTTTGGAATTAGATTTAATACAGTAGTTTTATGGGCGAGAAGCAAGAGGTAAAGTAAATCCATTCCTTCTTTTGTGTTTGAGCCTTGGGGTTAGATACAGAGTCACGGTGTCTTCTGCCAGGTTGCCACGTATTCCACCAGGTTGGCACTGACTGCAGGAGAGAGACTGGGTAGAACCTGCAAAACTATAATGGAACCAGAGCACTTCCAAGTCAGAGAGATATGGGTGCAGCTAACACATTGTGGGATTTTACAACTTTCACAGTTCCATAAATGATGGTCGATTAACTATAGTTTTACCCCCAAAGCGGTATTTCCCATTTTACTCCCCACTCCTTCTCTTTCATTGAGGGAGAAAATCATGACCCAGAGACCAACCAATTGTGATACTTAGATCAGCTATTCAGAGCTGTGGGTAAGAGTTCTAGAGTGCTAGGACAGGTGACATAAATATCCAGGGTATTATTGCCTAATTCCTAAATATTTGGCAAACCATCTGTCCTTGGTAAGTTCTATGCGAATAGAGGGTTTCAGCCCACCTCTCGTTTCCTGAATCTGTCCCAGATGAAATGTCTCTGTTGGGGATAATGCATCACAGACCTGCCACTAATCACTGTCCTTGTCTACTTCCCAGGAAGACAGTTTCTTGACCCCCTCTTAACGCTCAGACATTGAATAGCACAGGTTGATATTAGCTAATTACTATTACTGTAAGCATTTCAGCCCCGTTGATAACCTTGAACTTGAACCAATAGACATTTTACGTGGAGAACAATGGTTGCATTAATCTATACTGAAACCCATCTATAAAGATAAAAATCAGTTTGACTATTATGGATAGAAAAAAGTTACTATAAAGCGCAGGAAATAATTTATTTGTGATCACTTTATACATGTCCTCACTACCTGGGGACACCTTAGCATTGGGCATCAGGTTGAATGTGTCACTTGGAGCTGAAAACTCGACTCAAAAAGGGACATTATTGCCCTCTTGCCTTCATCTCCCAACTTCTGTTTTGGCTAAACAACCAACCAGACTGGTGATCACCCAAGAATCCACTTTTCACTCCATTAGGAATCTGTTATTTTTAGATACCCACTTGAAGAAAAGTGCAGCAAGTAGCACTATGGGTTTGCATGTATCAAGGGTATTTTGCAAGTAGTAACTTTCCTGTGTAATGTGGGATCGATTTTCTCTAATCAGTGTCACGCTTCCCACTGGCCCCGGTAGGCCTCTGTTGTCCTGGAGGCCAGTACATTTGCATGGAAGGACCTGGGACTTTCCGCTGGTGGAACCTAGTGACAGCCCAGCAGGATGGATGATTGTAAAGGAGATGGTAGCATCCCGCAGTTAGCAGAGGAAATAAGGTTAACAGGGAGATGGGGCACCTGCTCTAGGTCAGAGCCAAGACACTTGCCCCAGCCACTTCTCTGCCTCTCCACAGTCATGCTGGTGAGCAGCACTGAGATTCTTGTTTTGTTGTTGTTCTTGTTGTTTTTCCTGAAATAAAGCATTAGTACCTGAGAGCAATTCTTGATGTGAACGTTCAAAAGACATGAGCCTATTAGTTTACAGGAAGAAAAGATTTCTCTTGGGTAGCTATCAAAGGGGGAAAGAAAGGTGGTAGATCTTACTAAAAGGAAAGGTGGGGAGAGGTGTTCTTTCCAGCACCACTTGAGAGGGTCTGTGTTACTGTATTATTTGTGAAACATTCAACAAAGTCTTACCAATTATCAGCTACCTGCAAGCAAAGGGCTCTGGACAATACTCGCTAACTTACTTTCCAAAGTTAACTTGCACGTGTAGGCAATTAAATATTTTATCCCAAAGACGCATTAGCACATTTTCTTCTGTGTTAGATGATCACACTAGAAATTAGACAGTCTGTTTAAAAGTTTAAAATTTTTAAAGTAAAGCGAAAACAGGTTAAAAGAAAAAAAACTACAAAAGGAAAAGATGTTTGGATCAGGAATACAAAGAGCTGCGAGGTTATTAAAGGAAGGAAAATGGGCCCTAACCAGTTTGGCTCAATGAATAGAGCATCAGCCTGTGGACCAAAGGTCCTGGGTTCGATTCTGGTAAAGTGCATATACCTTGGTTGCAGGTTCCTCCCTGGCCCAGGCCTTGCATAGGGACTCGTGCAGGAGACACCAATTGAATTGTTTCTCTTACATCAATATTTCTCTGTCGTACCCTCTCACTTTCACTCTCTCTAAAAATCAATGGAAAAATATCCTTGGGTGAGGATTAAAAAATAAATAAATAATAAAAAAATAAAGGAAGAAAAATGCTGGGGAAAACTTTCGTGGAGAGGGCGTCAACTTAGCGTACTGACATTTATTTAAAAAGCTTACCATCAGCACTAGGTGACAAAAAGTCATAAGAGAGGATGGATATCAAATATCATTATTTCGTGTAAATTAAGACCCTGGTGAATGTAAGGCACGCCAATACTTTATGTTCCACTAAGAAAGAAGAAAAACACTGCAATAGATTATAATTATCTTCGAACACCAAGTTCAGAGATTTTAAAATATAAAAATACAGGTGTTAGAACCATAAGATATGGTCATTTAAAAATAATTTCCTAAGTAAAATTATTATGATACATTATGGGACAGAAATACTTGTTGATATTTTTAAAGAACTTTCTACTTTTTAAAAAGTACACTTAATATCATCTCACTTTATCCTTGTAACTCCAGTATTTCTAATTTACAGACAGAGGTGTTCAAACCTGGACAGGTGATCTCTGTGCAGACCTGGGAATGTACTCCAGGCCTCTGCTCCAGATCTAGTTTATTAGAAACTTCCACCCTCAAAACAGTCGATCTCATTTTCAGGGTAGTTATCTTCTCTAAAGTTGCTGTGGGCACTGAACACTGAACCATTGCTCCTAGGGCTGTGGTCGGCAAACTGCGGCTTGTGAGCCACATGCGGCTCTTTGGCCCCTTGAGTGTGTCTCTTCCTAAGCCTTAGGAGTACCCTAATTAAGTTAATAACAATGTACCTACTTATATAGTTTAAGTTTAAAAAATTTGGCTCTCAAAAGAAATTTCAGTCGTTGTACTGTTGATATTTGGCTCTGTCGACTAATGAGTTTGCCGACCACTGTCCTAGGTTCCTGTGAGCCTTTGGTCACAGCATTTTTATCAGCCGGGTGATACCTTATTCTATGTTTGTTTTTGTTTAGAGAGACCTTATTTAATATATAGTGTTGACTGATTAACATTGAACTCACTGCCAGCAGCACTATAACTAGTGCCTGAGTGAAACTGATCTGACACAGATCATCTCCGTAAGGCACGGCACAGCCTTCTTGCACTTGGCAGCACTAGAGGCACTCAGCTGTACATTGGAGTACATTTTAAACAGCAATCACCAACAGTAAGCGCAAAAATGTGCATCATGTGGCATCGAAGAGACC